AAATTACACAGGCACTTTCAACTGCCAACATACATTTGCTGTGTGGTGCTCTCTCCTTGTGATCTGTCTTGGGTTAAAGTGCCAATCCTTATCTTTAAAAACTAAAACCAGCAGCATTCTATGTAACTCCATAAAAACTAGCTGGATAGCTCAGTGGTTTAGGTATCTGGCTGCAGAGCCAGAAGTTGGAAGTTTGATATTCCATCGTGCCTTGCTGACAGAGGTTGGACTTGATGATCCATGGGCTCCCTTCCGGCTCTGCAGTTTTAATATGATGATGATGATTGTAAAAAGTACCATCTAGGAGTTAAGGGCAGTCCCCCCCATTTTCTGCCAACAGTTCCATGACCAAAATGTGTTATAAATTAGTTATAGTTGCTATCATATGGACTATATGTAGTCAACCCATTCCCCTATATTCCAAAACAATTTAGATTGCATGATCAGCATCCGCTGGACATAGACAAGGAACAAATAAATGAAAATACTGATATGGAAGCTAACAAATTGATGAGAAACAGAGAGACAACTCACCCCATGTCTAACAAATCATTGTAGCATATGTGTGCATGAGTGCATGTACGCAGCAGTGATCCAGTAAAACAAGAAAAGCTTGTTAAGACTCACCATATAAACCATGTATAGCAGAAACAAACCTTCACTAGGAGAAAGGTAGCAATAAACAAACAAACAAACAAACAAACAGCCCTATTCATCTGCTCTTCTGAATGTATGAACAGGGCTAAATCTGGGACTGGGATGTACAGTCACTTTGTGTGCCAGACCCAACCCCTCTGATTACTGAGTTTGCTGTGCTGGCTGGCAAGATCTCCTGGGGAGAGCTACTCACATTCCTTTGAACAAGACCAGAGCTTCGGGAAATATCTGATGCTGCCCATTCATGGTTCCTGATGGTGCTACCCATCTTCCACGCTCACCTTCAGACACACACAAATCAAACTCCCCTACAGATCTTGCCATTCTACATGGCAAACTTTGAGTTGAACCCACAGCCATGCAGGGAAGCTGACAAAAAGGTCAGCATCCAGGGCCTCATCCCCAGTTTTAGCAATTATGATCTCAGAAAAGGGGGTTTGTCATTTCAAAGACCATCAGTTCTGACCTGAGCTTCATGGTAGAAGAAAGGGAAGCGATAAAGATATTGGTTATACAGGAAAACTGAACCTGATGGTGTGTAATAGTATTCAGAGATATGGGTCCTTTCTCCTTGGACAACATCTATACTGTGATATTTCATCATACCAGGGAGAAAGTCAGTGCCAAAGCAGCAAAAGGTAGCTATAGAGATGCTGGGAGATGCGAGTCAGCCAAGAAGAAGAGGAAACTGAGAGAAATGTGAGGAGCAAACAGAAATGACAGGAAAACATATGAGAATAGGGGGGAAATTGAAAGTAGGAGGGACAAGGAGGGAGAAAAGATGGGAGGAAGGCTTTGGCCTTCATCCTGTACTGCCACCAACATGCTGCCTGTGGTACTGTTCAGGTATTTTCCAAGTAACTTGTAAAAAGTAAGTTGGCCACTTGGAAGGGAACTAATGTATACTTAATGAACTGTTCCATATGCCAAATATGAGAAAGTAAAAATCAAGAATGAAAAAACCCTGATTAATCCTAATTAACCTACGTGTTAGAAATGTTTACTTTGGCAAAACAGCAATGGGTGGCACGTATTTTGAGAGACTCCCAATATTAGGAATTATTAATTCAGACAAGACAGAGATGCTCCTGGTCAGTCAAAATGCAGATCAAGGAATTGGGATGCAGCCTGTGCTGGAAACAAATAAATTCCCTCTGAAAGCACAAATAAATAGCTTGGGGACGCTCCTGGATTCATCTCTGAGCCTGGATGTCCAGATATTGAGGATTCATCTCTGAGCCTGGATGTCCAGATTTTGACAGTGGCCAGGACTGCATTTGCAAAGTTAAAGCTAGTGCACCAGCTGTGTCCACTCCTGCAGAGGTCTGATCTGGCCACAGTAACACATGCCTTAGTGTTAGTCATCATCATATTAAAACTGCAGAGCTGGAAAGGAGCCCATGGATCATCAAGTCCACATGCCTTAGTTACATCCTGGCCAGATTACTGCAATGTCCTTTACATGAAGCTGCCTCTGCAAAGTATCAGGAAATTTCAGCAGGTACAAAACATGGCAGCCAGATTGTTAATTGGGGCTGGTCACAGGGAGGAGATGACCCCTCCTATTACAGCATCTTCACTGGCTGCTGATGCATTTTTGGGCACAATTCGAAATGCCGGTTCTAGCCTATAAAGCCCTAAAGGGCTTTGGTCCAAGCTATCTCAAGGACTGCATCTCCCTTTATGAGCCTACTCTGGTGTTAAAATAATCAAGAGAGGTCTTTCTCTCTGTCCTGCCACGTTCATAGGTAGACTTGGTGGGGACATGGGAGAGGGAAGGACTTTGGAACTCCCTCCCACAGGATGCCAGGCTAGCCACATCTTTGCTGCCCTTCTGCAATCAGGTGAAGACCTTTTTCTTCAGGCAAACTTTCCTTCAGTGACCGGCTGCCTCAGTAGGGTTTTTAAATGGAGTAAATTTGTACTTCATTGCTTTGATGTCTCTTTTGCTTATTTATTTAACTGTGGTATTTGTTTGATCCTTTGAATGTTGTCTTTTAATGATGTAAGCCACCTTTTTAAGGAGAAAGATGGAGTAAAAATATTTGAAATAGAATAAATAAAATGTAAAAATATTTTAAATAGAATAAATAAAATGTTATTATACATATTCATAACTTTCAAATTAGGATGTGGGTGTATTTGAATATTGTTTGAATTCAGTGAATTATAAATATTTCCAAATCCATATGCACATCCCTAATCTACATAAAATTCTCTGAGACTCCCCCCTCCACCGCCATGCATGCTGGGACTAGGTTGTCACCATAGATGTTTGCCCCTGCATTTTAAGTTGTGTAAGGTCTTCACTGTACAAGGAAAGAGGTGGTTGACTGAATGATAGAGCAGTTTCTGTCTCAGAGCAGCTGCATCCAAGGTTCTAGAAACGACTGAATTATATCTGTCCAATACTAAGGGCAGTAAACAAAATAAACCAGACAACAGAAGTATAAGGGGCAATATGGTAATGCATAAATTATCTGGAAAGAGCAAAGTGCCAATGATGCAGCAGCTGCAAGTGAAGGAAATAACTAACTCAAGGTCTAGCTGTATAGTTTGGGTGAAATATTGAACAACACAGAGAGAACAATCTAGGAGCCAAATAAATTCTCTAGAATGAAGAGCTGAGAACATGTCATTGCAAACAATAAAAAAACCAGCTGCAAACCAAACTTTAGGAATAGGTTAGCTGCAAAGTTTATAAATCTTGGTGCCAAATCCTTGTGGGCTGGTTCATTGTGAGGAAAAAAAAAGGTGAAAAAAAACATAAAATCCTGGAAAATATTTCAAATAAACGTATAATTTAATGTATTCTAAACATGAATACTAAAGAAAGGCACCAGAGTAGTACACAGTTTATACTGACTACAGCCAGGAAAGTTGTAACTGAATTTATGCTCACTTAAAAAAAAAAAGCACACTGATGTCAATTGGGATGTGCTTGAGTAAACATCTTCAGGAGACATCTGCAGACCTAAAAGGTGCTGTCCAACTTGCTACAGAGGTTGTTCACATGTAGGAATTCAGTGACATATTTGCAGTTAAATAAAAGCACCAGTACAGAGTTGCCTAGTACAATGCAATGCAAAGTTTCTGTGGTATCAAAGCAGTTAAGAATTGTTTGACACTGCACAATGGTCAGGATGGAATGCTCTATTGCACAACATGAACAACTCTGCTCATAGAAACCTAGCCTCTCAGGGAGAAGGATGCTTGTTCAGCCAATTTCTAGTTCCTAGATTATTTTTGTTTGCTCCCCCCCTCTCTCTGCATATGTAGGGTATTATTTTATGACAAAATTGTCACCTATGCAGACCCCTGAATTCATGAAATCATGTAATAATGTAATATACAAATAACTGTTACATATGTTCTTGTAGTTTATGCAAGCCAGGCCAAATCAAAGCAGTCAGAAATATAATATTTAGGTAATGAAAATGGATAACTGGGAATCAGAAGAAATGTAATAAAAATGCAGCAGGATTTTGGCCATTGCATACATTCTAGATGGGGAAAGGTATCACCACCAATTACAACAGTTGTCCACGAGATTCATAGACAGAATTATTATTGACTTCTGAGTTCAAAACAGTGTCCATGTGTCATTTGTGCCCAAATAAGTCCCTTTTCCATTGGCTTTGCAGATAAGCAATATTTCCAATTCCACTATCATTTTATAGAAACAGGGCAAGTGAATTATTATATACATTAAAATTGCAAAACACGTCTTATTCATTGATGAACCACAGCAATGAGCCTTAATAATATAGATACTTCATAATAACAAATAAGAGACATTTTTATACATAGGGGTTCTGTTTTATATTGATGATCTGTACTGGTTTCCTTTGCTCAAGCATATTATCTTCCCACGTCTGAACATTTTCTAACATGTAATACATTTAATGTTTAGCATTATTTTATATGTCAGTCTTGTACTGCAGTGTTATGTTAGAAATTTTTCAGTCTTGTCTTGCAGTGATGGCAACTAGCCATGCCTCATCAGCTCTAGTCTGGTTTATTTTTCTTTACAGAAATCAACAGTATTTTCAGCAGTAAAGGAAAGAAGGCCTATTAATGTAACTACTTCACTGGACAAGGCAGGCAGGTAGGGGAGACACAATTTGACATCTCACGTAAAAAAAAAAAGTAATGAGATACGTACATAACGAGTTCTCAAGTTAGTTTTGGTCCCAGTTCTGAAAATGAAACTTTACAGATGAACAATTGACACAGTTATAAAGGAGGCTTGCTCAGTTATCATTTTCATGTAAATATCAGTTTATAGGTAGGAAAAAATCACTGAATTAGTGCTGTACAGCCACAGTTATGGAGATTCTTACCTGACTGGCCAGGTGGTGGAACTCCTGATGATCCCCTTGGCAGGCATAAAAACACGGTAAGCACTGCTGCTTTGTTTCCCGAGCAAGGCTCAACAGCAATAGGCTTCGGAGAACCCTGATGTTGGAATGAAAATATAGAAATTACATGATTTTGATTATTTCCTGTTGCTACTTTCTTGGTTAACTTATTCAAACCATCTCCAACTTTCCAAACAAAAATAGATGCCCTCCCTTTTTTATTTTGAAATATTAAATTTTTATTTTCATAGACTTAAATATAGGTTTCCAATGACAGCTTGCATTATCCAATTAAAACAGCAAGAAGGTAACCTAAAATAAAGAATATTATTTTTTGCTTCTGCAAATTTAGTAACGTATAATGCTGATTATGGAAATCTTTAAATCAAAAATCTGATATTTCAGCATTATTTTTACTAATGAGTTTAGCATCTCTGAGCAATTTAGACAGAAAGTACAGTGGGAATAATTTTGTGTTACATTTTCCAAAGAAGCTTCAGTTGCTACACCTACTAACAGCCCACGGACCATTGGCAACAGAAAAACCAGGGGACTATACTGCTGAAGAAAAAAGGTGTTCAATTTAATTATTATTTTTCCATTGCAAACCAGGAAGATATGAAGAAAACTTTTTGGTCAAAGTCAAAAAGGAAATGTCACTAACAAATGTAAATTGGGTTGGTGTAATGTGGCCCATATAGTATATTATACAAGGCATTACATCTCTCAGTGGAGAGCCACCCACACAACATTTCATTCACACAAAGCTCATAGAGTGAGATGAGAAAACAACTTGTGTTGCTTTCAGATTGAAGTCAGACTAGCCTCAGCAGAATGGAAGGGAGAAAATGAGTAAGCAAAAAAGGAAACCCTCCAGGGGTTCCCAAATATAAAGCACTCAGAAGTGGTGTAATCAAGTTCTTCTCCTGCCCTGGGCGGCCCCCCCAGTAGGCACGGGAATGAGGGACGGAGGCTGATTAAAAACTTTATCAGGTTCCTTTTTATTATTTAACACTTCTAACTCAACAGCTTCAGTAGGGTCAATCAAACTCAACTCAGGCAGAACTTTATAACTCTGGACCCTCACTTCAGGCGTTGTCCAGTCACTTCTCACATCGGGGCTGGCCCAAACTACTCGCGATCCATCATAGGCCTCAGTGGGGTGCTCTGTACTGCGCAGATGGCTGGCCCAAACCACTCGCGATCCGTCATAGGCCTCAATGGGGTGCTCTGTACCGTGCAGATCATCCCACAGCAGGGGTGTCTCGCCCAGTCCCCCTCGCGCGGCTGCTGGAGTAAAAAGGGACTGGGATGAATCACCCTCCTCCCTCCATGCTGATTGCGTGGGTACATGACCACAGTCCATTCTACAGGCTCTAGCTCTCCTGCTGCATTACTCCCTATAGGATCCGGCAGTAAGCCTCCTCCAGTACGGAGATTCGGGAACTCTTTTAACAATCCAGTTATATCTTCCTGTTCACTTTCTTTCTCCGTCTGTACCCCCTTATCCTTCCTCTCACCACTAGGTTCGTCCGTTATTCTAAAAACGCGCACATTTTCTCCCACATTTATTACCTCCTCCCAAGCAATCAAGTCCTGCTCCTCCCCCTTGTCGTCAGCTAAGCAAACCTCTAACACTTCTACCCCCCTCTCTCCCTTCCTGCTCTATTTCCACCAACACCCCCTCTGTACAACCGTGGTCTTCTTCAGGGGTGGATGTCTGGGAGGACGGCACACTGGTGGCTCCTTGCTCACAAGTGGTTTACCAGTCCTTCCATATGTGGTGCTTTAGTACCATGCAGCTTGCCTGATGCCACACAGGTGGCGAGCCTAAAAATTAGGAGTCAAGTCCTAAAAATTTGTGGGTGAGATGACATGTTTGCTTATCACTGTGGTTTTTTTGTATTTCAGAAAGCAAATCAGCAGCTATTGGCAATTGTTTTAAATTGGACACCAATGGTATAACTCCAGTTACTGAAATAAGTATGGTGATTATCTGATCTTGCTTCCATATTCTTTCAATTTCTTGCCTTTTGTACCTTGTTGGTTGATGCAACTCCAACTTCTACAAGGTATGTTTTTCTTTGTTGCTTATCCAGAAGTACAAATATTAACCAGTTTATTAAAATCAACTATTTTATCCTTAATAAATTGCTTGTCCCAATATAGTATTATGGTTTCATTTTCTAAAACTGGAGGTGGATGGAGTTTTTAATATGGAGGAAGATATATGAATAACCCAAGCTTTAGTTAACTGCTGACAAATAATCTTTGCAGCTTGATTATACCTGCACATATTATCTGTTCATGCTAGCTTAGTGCTATCCAGCTATGATATAATTGTGGGTTTCTTAAATTTATGACAGGTCCACTTACACCTTATTTCATAATTATTTTCTGATAGCAAATAATTTGATTTTGGATTGTGCATATGAATCTCTCAATTCATGCTTGAAGATAGCCTAATTTAAGCCACAGGTTTGATTGTTGCTTATCACTATTATCATCCAGGAAGCCCCTGTGCTGCTGTCGTCGGTGTAATGGTTTCTCAAGTCATGCATCCCTATGCTGTGGAATGTTTGCTAACATAGGTCAGTTCTCACTTCCATGTTGTAACACTGTTATTATTTTCTCCTGTCATTTGATGAAGTAAGACATGCTCTCATGGATGTAGTTTCAATATCTAACTCCATCATGCTCCATGACAAATAAAGGTTTTCAGTATATGGCTTTGGATAATGGCACCAGTATTTTGCCAGGACTTGGGTTTCCCTGTTTAAATAATAAGATCATTGTACCTCCAGTCTACAATTCCAAAAGAATATGATAACATTGGGGTCACCCAGATGTTAACAGCTATAAATTTTCCTTTTGTATTAAGTTCTGTCTTGAGTACCACCTTACTGTATCAAAATACATGTTCCTGAATAATGACTTAAGTTCCTTGCGGTTATATTGAATTTTTTTGTGGATGTATAGATATTTATAGGTTTTCTGCTCTTGTAAGCATTACAATAAACTATTCCTTAGTGAAATCACAGTTACTGCCTTCCGAGGATTTGCCTCTTTTATTGTGGATAATAGCACATTTACACCAAAGTTCATTTTGATATTCTCAATGACATTTAAGAGACTATTCAATTTATCAGAAGAATTTTCAAATAACTTAATATGTGTAGTGGATATTTGGTGAGTCAACAGAAGTTCCATTGATTCAATGAACTGGCTCTAGCTGTGACTTACCATATAGGATTTCAGTCTCTTTGTATTGTGACACCACATAGTACATAACCACTCTACACAATATGCCTGCTTCTTAGATAACCAAAAATACATCAGATGTACTGTAGTTAAGATCCTCTCTTTTTAACTTCTCAACAATCTCTAAATGTGTAATACCAATTTAGACTATACCAGTGTGGCTGGTCAGTGTTGTAAAATTAATATCTGTTTTCATCATTTGTAAGAACAGCAACAACTCCCACAGAAATTCAACCCCAGAAAAGACTCATTCCCATTAATTTTATCAGAGGATACACCCTTTCTTCTATATCATGCATCCTACAAGCCCAAGGGGATTTTAGGGGAATCAAACTCCCTAAAATCTTTCAGCATGAATACAGTTGTACAGTTGTCTGTGTTTCAAAACAAGTTGCAGCAATACATATAGCTCAGTGGTTTAGGTCTCTGTTTACGGAGCCAGAGGAAGGGAGTTCAATCCCCCACTGAGCCTCTTCAACAAGGGGCAGACTCAATGATTCATAGGGTTCCTTGCAGCTCTGTCAGAGATTATTATTAGATTATTTTTATTTTTGCTATATGTTTCAAGGTTCTAAAATTGCAGCAAATAAATATGGCACAAAATGCTAATGCTCTTTTAAAAAGTAGTTTCCATTAGTCACATTTCCATAATCTAAATTATAAATTGTATATACGTCCAATTTCAGACGTTGAATCTTTAATTGCGTACTAAATATACTTCCAAAATGCATGTGGTTTAAAGCAATTATTCTTCTCTCTTATGTCTAAATATTTAGAAAACAACCCTGTCATGTTCTTAAGACAAACAGGGAAATATATGCTACTTTGATTTGTAGTTCAAGGCCATTAATTTTTGTGAAAAGCAAGGATCTCTCTTTCTCTATCTCCCCCTCTCCCCCATACACACATACACACCAAATATTTTAAGAATATGATCCAAAATGATACTTTAGCTGTGTTAAATATACTGACTAACTAAGTTATGATTTGAGAATATTCTTTCCACCGAATAGGCACTTCTAAGTTTTTATTTCTCAGACCCAAAGAGATCAATATTTGTTACTACAGAATTAGAATATGCTTAGTGAGCAACTTCTATCCAGATACTTTGTCCTTTTCAACCCTATTGCCAAAGTTTGCTCGTTAGAAAACCCCCATGGTTCCCACCCTGGAAATTACTTGGGCTGGATTAGTTTTGTGATCCTTTTCAACTCTAGAACTCTATGAGCTTATTTTAATATGACGTTCACATTGCAGTGTGCTGATGCTAAATGAGAAGTTGCTCCAATATTATCTTTTGGCCCTAGAAAACTGTGCAAATCCTGGATACCTGCAGGCAGCATATGTAGATGGCAAGCTGATTCCTACATTCCCTAAAAGTGCAGCTATCACAACCCTCAGACCATAGAGAAGTGATTTTGGGCAGGGTGTGTTTTGTTTTGCATATGATGCAGCCATATATGGCTCAGACATAAAGTGAAGGCAAAAAATACTTCGTGCTTGTTTACATCACATGTATGTGTGTGTCTGAGTTTAGCAATCACATTACAAGTGACACAGCTTTACATTTGCATTTAATGTATTTTTCTGGATTAATGAAGGCATAATAACACTCAGCAGAATCTCGTTTGTTCCTTTTCCTTCTGCAGTGATTTGGTGCATTGAACAGTTTCCCACTAGGAAGGATCCTGTAACACCTCATTACACAGGTTAAGACACTGTCCAAAGGAACGTGCAATGCACTGTTGTGAGAGTGGAAAGGACGAAAAGGATTCTGCTCATTATCTTTTTAATAAAGCTTAGTGACTCATATCATCTCTACTTTTTCAGTACAGT